GTTTAAGAACCCATTGTGGCCCTCGAGTCAAAAAGTTTGCCCACCCCTGGAATAGAGCATTGGCCTGCGAACTGAAAGGTCCCAGGTTCGATTCCAGTCAAGGGCACATGCCCAGGTTGTGAGCTTGATCCCCAGTGGGGGACCTGCAGGAGGCAACCGATCCACCATGATTCTCTCTCATCATGGATGTTTCTATCTCTCCCTCTTCCTCTCTGAAATCAATAAAAGTATATTGGAAAAAAAAAATGGTACCAATAGATATATCAAGCCTTAACTTCCCTTCTAAGTTTCTGGTAACATATACATATAGTCTAAGTGAGCACTTAGCACTAGGGCATTAGAACTGATGCTTCTCCAACACCAGAGAAGGCCTAAGATTTAGGGTGGGGAAAGAGGAAAAAGAGGCAGCATAGGAATAGTGGGAGGTAGGGTAAATTTTAGGGTATAAATTATTCTAGTGTTTGCATAACTTCTTGTGGTTTAACACAAGTATGGGGAGGAAGAACCTTTCCTCTACCTTTTAATTATTAGACCTCTTTCAGCTGGTCTACTAATTAAATCTATGTGAGACAGATTAGCAAGAGAAAATAACCAAATTTAATCACATAAGTATGTATAGGAACCCTACACACAAAAGTGGTTCAGAGACAAAAAGGGAAAGTAAGGTAGACATGGCATTCAGAGTTAAGGATGCAGTAAGGCACCCTGGCGCTTCAGAGGGGAGGAGGGTCATTTGCAGGACAGATGCTCAGTAATCAGAAGTGTGCTCAGCCCTATAAATAGGTCATAAAAAGTTATTTTTGCCAATACTCTTATTATGGTCAAGGCCCCAAATTTAAATTCTTTAAGGAAGAAGTAAAAGTTTCTCATGAGCCTGCAAGGTTTCGATTGCCTTCATCTCAACATAATTCACATACCAAAGTGGCACATCTTGGGGAGTTCTGTTCTGAACCCTTTAGTAGTAACTATTTTGCACCTACTAACAGATTTAGCACAGGCATACTCTCATTTATTTATTCACATTATAGTTCTGGAGTCTAAGGTACATTTACATAATTAAACAAATATTCTGAAAGCACTGATAATCATACTGGCCCCTATTTCATAATTTTGTCTATAAGATGATTTTGTAAAATACCCTAAACATTATTAAAGTAAAGTATATGAAGCTCTGCTTCACAAAAATGTTTTTGTATGTCTGAAATATTCATTTTAAAAAAGTTATTTAAAAAACCTGCCAACCTATTCTTCTTGGACACAAGAGACAAGATGGTTTGGTTTTGCCATTAAATTCTTTAAAAAAATTTTCTTGGCAGGTGAAGCTTGAAATTTTAGATAATAAATAAAAGCATTGGGAGATTACATGAGGGATATAAACGTACCATACTGGAAAAAGTATCCAAGATAACGAAAATCACTCCATTAGGTCATATTCAGATACAAAGAACATGCACAACTGGAAATAGGGATGTGATTAACTACTGCTGTGGGTTCAAAAAAACAGCCCACTCAAAAGCAACACTTATAGGAATAGTCACTCAGACTTTCTCCAGACCAGGGGTCCTCAAACTACGGCCCGTGGGCCACATGCAAATACAAATATTGTATTTGTTTCCGTTTTGTTTTTTTTACTTCAAAATAAGATATGTGCAGTGTGCATAGGAATTTGTTCATAGTTTTTTTTTAAACTATAGTCCGGCCCTCCAACGGTCTGAGGGACAGTGAACTGACCCTGTTTAAAAAGTTTGAGGACCCCTGCTCCAGACAGTAGCTGACATATTGTTTTGACATTTGTCATGGTATCAATCATCCTGAAAAAACGAACAAACAAAAACAAAACAACACATTAGGACAAACATGTCAAACTCGTGGCCCGTGGGCCTCATGCAGCCCACAGGAATATTTTTGCGGCCCAGCCAATATAACGGTATGTAAGAAACGTTTTAATAAAAATTTCATAACATAATTTTTACAATATCCTGTTATACATAATTACTAATAACTACAACATTCGCTAATGACTAATTACTATAATCATGTTGCATTCATTTCCTTTATGTGCCTTACGTGCAGGCGCACCATTTCTCTCCACTAATACTAGCAGCAAATATTTTAGTAGCCAATTGCCATGTTCTTAGTCTTGTACTGACTTATTTGGTGTGAGCCACAGGAAATATTTCGCTTTCCGAGAAGAAGAAAAATAGGTTTATTTGTGTTACACTTATTAATTTGTGCAGTTATTCAGTGTCTGGTAAGTTACTGTTCAAGAAAAAAATATTAATTTTTATTAAAATGTTCTATTATTTTATGTTAACGATCACTCATTTATTTCAGCCCTTTGTATTCAGCATGTCTCTATCGAAATAAACCTATGTTTCTATGAAAATTGAAGCTTATGTTTCTTTGCGGCTCACATAAACTTAAACCTTGTTTATTTGGCCCGTGTTAGCCTTTGAGTTTGACATGCTTGCATTAGGAACATTGAAGTAAACATATATGCAATTTATATTTCTAATGTTTGTGATAAAAATTGTTTTAAAGAAACAAGCTTAAAAATGTCTTCTGGCATTTCAGAATCCTTTCTTACTTACTACATCCTCTATTTATGTTCAATTTCAATTTCTTTGTCTTTGTCCCATGTGACTGTTGAACCTCAGGGAAGGCAGGGGAGGGTGGGTGGGAAGAGATCAACCAATGCACTTGTATGCATATATGCATAACCCGTGGACACAGACAATGGGGTGGTGTGGGTCTGGGTGGGTAAGGGTGGGAGTGGGCTGGAAGAGGTTAATGGGGGAGAAAGGAGGAACTATGTAATACTTTCAACAATAAAGATAAAAAAAAAAGACTAGGTGTAACATACAAGAAAGCACTAGGCTGGGAACACCCAGGTTATCATCCTGATTTTGTCATTAAACAGCTTTGTGATACTGAAGGAGTCTAAATTCTTTAAACTGCTCTTGTCTATAAAGTTGAAAATAAAAGCAAAGTGGACTAGAGAATTCGTAACATTCCTTTCAACTCCAATTTCCAACAGTCTTTCTTTTCTAAACTGAATAACCTCCAATACAAAGCTATGTTGGTGTGTCAGAACATCTTGGGACTCGGATTTGCTGCCTTTTGATCTGATTAGTTGTCTGCAGGTCATCTACTGCAGGACAATGTAATTGAGAGTAGATAACAAAATGGCTGGATCTACGCATGGAGAGAGGACTGAAAAGGAAAAACATACCTCTTTAACATAACCCTAACACAAAGAGGTATCAGACTGGAAAAGAGGTCAATTCACTGAACTAGAAGGAATTGACTATGTATGCAGAAAATGCCAAAAGTTGTGGATCTCTATGCCATTGCTGTTCATATGCATATATTAGTTACTTTTCATACTAGTTATTCAGGATAGAAGTCCTGCTAAATTATACTGATTCCTTGCTACTGGCTTAGTAACCAAGAATTCACACAGGGCCCTAATGCAGTGATAAAGATAGGATTACAGAAGATATTTCCTACATATTGCTACATTAGTTGATTTTAGAGACAGAAGGGGGGAGACAGAAACATTGATGTGAGAAACATCAATTGGTTGCCTCCCATATGCACGCTGACTGGGGATCACACCACAACCTTTTTGGTGTACAAGACGACAATCCAACCAACTGAGCGACATGGCCAGGGCTGTTACCTTTAATTAAAGTAACTTTTACTTTTATAATTTTCAAAGTACTTTCACATACTTTCCATGTCAGTATCAGAACTCGAAAAGGCAGGGAGGACAGGCATTACCATGTCCAGATTATAGATGAAGAATTTTAGGTGATACTCAGAAAGATTAAGGAAAAGCTTTAATGTAAAAAAATCAGATGTTTGTAAATGAAGCTGAGGTCAGGCCCAGGTATGCTACCTACTAGCCCAGTGCTCTCTTCAGAATGCCACCTTTTCACCTTACAATGCATAATGCTGGTCATAGGGACTGTGCACATGGAAGTGTATGTTACATCATCACTATGAAAAAACAACTAATTGTGATGTTCTTACTCAAACCTCCTGATCGACGTAAAGCTGACTTCTAGCCTCTGAGATGTGGAAATGTTAAGGAATAATGAAAGACCCATACAAATGTACTGATAGCTCTAAACAAAAAACTATTTTCACAAATAGGAAATGATTACCAGCAATACCTTGACCTCTACATGCCTATGCACATTCACAAAGCAATCACAGTCAGTTCATCTTTTGACTTTTAGAATATTAAGCCTGCTTAAAGTTTCCTTTTTTCTTTTAAGAAACTCATTAGATATATTCAAAATGGTCCTCTACAATACTGTCTAAATTTAAATGTACCAGAATTTTCCTATGTTCCAAAAATGTACAATTCTAAATTACTAATCAATTACCAGTCATCAATTTTTTATTTAACATTTCCTTCTTTTCCAGAAGGTAATTCTCTTTTCTGGTTACTAAACAGATTTAAAAAATACAGATTATACCAACATTAAGATTGTTCATCTTTTTTTCTTTAAGATTGTATTTTTCAGATTTTGAGATCAAGCACTAATATAAAATTTTTACATTTAAACATATAAGGTTACCTTTTCTATTTAGGTACTTTTGCCTTTTTTCCTTAAAATAAATACATTGCCTACATATCTAAAGAGTGTTGCTTAGGCTGATTTTATTACAAGGAGGAATGAGTTTAGAAAAATCTTACCTATCTAGCTCAGCTGGCGTGGCTTAGTGGTTGCGTGTCGACCTATGAACAAGGATGTCATGGTTTGATTCCCAGTCAGGGCACATGCCCGGGTTGCGGGCTTGATCCCCGAGTATGGGATGTGTAGGAGGCAGCCGATCAATCATACTCTCCCATTATATATATACACACACACATATATATACATACATATAATATATAATTATATATTATATATTATAATATATATTATATTATATAATATATAATTTATATATATATATGTATATATATATAAATATAACTAGAAAAAGAAAAATATTACCCATCTTTTATTTGTACAGATATGGCATTATTTAAATAACTTCTCCATAGATGACAGGAATGTCACTTCAAACTCCTGATCAGAGAATCTGCTTACAGATGCACGAGCATTATTTCTGATTTGGAGTCTCTTTTCCTCAGACATGGAAAGAATATGAGCCATAGTCTCAGCATAGCCTTCTTCACTTTCAGCCAGAAATCCAGTTACTTCCCCTTCATAAGGAATGACAATGTCAAGCTTCGGGCCCCCTGAATTGTGTGCAAGGATAATTGTGCCAGCTGCCATACACTCAACAACTCCTGAGGAAAAAACAAAAGCATGTAGTTTAAGTTTTTGAACATGTTCATATGAACAAGAATCAACAGAAACCTTAAAAAAATTGTATGAGACTTATGAGAAATTTAATTACATACCTATATGTCTATAAATGTGCTCATTTAACTTCCATGGTACAAAATAAAATAATTTTAAGGTTTTTAATTTTCAAACCTTCACAATAATGCTGCTTTGTTCTTAATTAAAACAGATAAGTAGATGGAAGGATGGTCTATATAAAACAGATATGTGGATAATAAAACAAAGTAGAAGACTAGAGAAAGTTAGCAGAATGGGAGATAATTAACGGATATGGAAATATAAAAGAAGTAAAAAGGTATCAAAAGCAAAAATATAACAGTTCAAATTACAGCAGTAGGAGGAAACAAGGAAAAAAGTAAGCCATCTCAGTGAGGCATACTATTACTGATGCTTAAGTTACTGCCTGGATTTCCGGCAAATCCGAAACTACTGTGTGCCCAACAGCAGTGAACTAAATGAAAGTTTTGGTTAGTTTTTGCCAAATAATGTAGGTGAGGATATAAGTTACTCTAGCCAGAATATCTTAACTGTGCTTCTAGAGAGAATTAAGCCCTTCAGAAAGTGAGTTAGTTGACTGCAGAACTGATATTCTAGAAGCACAGGAAAGAAATGAAATAATTTACAACCGTTTCTTCAAAAGTGGTAAAATCTCTATGGAACAGAATTTTCTGTTAGTGTTGTAATTTGAATTCTTATTTGAAAAATATGGATTATATCATAATATTCTGTTCAAGGCTGGATACCATTCCTCTATACTTTCTCAGAGACCTCAAATCTAATCAATTTTATTCCCCTCCCTCCAGGATTTTCCACCTCTTCAGTTCATAAGTCCTCCTTTTGCTAATGTCTCTTCTTTCATAAACTTCTGAAAAGTATGGTTTGCACTTACTATTTCACTTGCTCACCTACATTCAATGCTCAACTTACCACAATTCAACTCTTGCTTCTCCTCCTCCTTTACTGGTAAACTGCTCTTGACCAGGTCACCAGTCACTTCCTTATCTGGCCCAGCATCTGGGAAACATGGAAACTTGCTGCCCTTCCTCTTCCTCCCCAAACACTCTCTCCCCTTGATTTCCATGACACTGCATTACACTGGTTTTCTTCCTCTATTTCTTCTCTTCTGCTTTGCTGGACACTCTTCTTCTGCCCACTTCTGAGCTGTTACTATTCTCAGCAGTTTGTACTACGGGCCTCTACACACTTTCTGTAGGCAATCTTATCCACGTCCAAGGGGCCTGCAGTAACTACCTGGACAACAACAACAACTCAAACTGTATTCCCAGAGCAGGTCCCTCTCCTGTACTTCAGACTCATATATATAAATGCTTGCTGGATGCACACATGTACAGTGGAACTTCATTTCTCAAACTTAATTCATTCCAGAAGGTTGTTCGAGAAATGATTTGTTCGAAAACTGAATAATTTTTTCCCATTAGAAATAATGTAAACTGAATTAGTTAGTTCCAAACCCCCAAATGATTCCTTGTTTTAACTTTTCTTATATACAGCACATGTCTAATATACTGTTTAATTTAGAAATAAACACTTCTTAAATTTATCGAACCACCCCCTATGAGCCTTAAAGGAATTTTTCATATACAGTAGGTCCTCAGGTTACGTCGGAGCTCCGTTCCTACAGCACGACATAACTCGATTTCGCCGTAAGTCGGAACCCACCTACATAAGCACCTCCGTCACTCACATGGAGCACATACACAGCAGTAATGAAGTGAAACAGTAAAAAAAATTTAAAAGAAAGATAACAATTCCTGACCTTTACTTTTGGTAAATAATAAAAAACATAAAGCACATATGTACATACGTCGAAATGACAGAACTTTTTTTTTTTTTAATTAAATCTTTATTGTTCAGATTATTACATTTGTTCCTCTTTTTTTTCCCCCCATAACTCCCCTCCTCCCAGCTCCCGCCCCACCATCCGCCCTCACTCCCCACCCACTGTCCTCATCCATAGGTGCACGATTTTTGTCCAGTCTCTTCCCGCATCTCCCACACCCCTTTCCCTCCCAAGAATAGTCAGTCCATTCCCTTTCTATGTCCCTGATTCTATTATGATCACCAGATTATTTATTCACTTGATTCTTAGATTCACTTGTTGATAGATGCATATTTGTTGTTCATAATTTGTATCTTTACCTTTTTTTTTCTTCTTCCTCTTCTTAAAGGATACCTTTCAGCATTTCATATAATACTGGTTTGGTGGTGATGAACTCCTTTAGCTTTTCCTTATCTGTGAAGCTCTTTATCTGACCTTCAATTCTGAATGATAGCTTTGCTGGATAAAGTAATCTTGGTTGTAGGTTCTTGGTATTCATCACTTTGAATATTTCTTGCCATTCCCTTCTGGCCTGCAAAGTTTCTGTTGAGAAATCAGCTGACAGTCGTATGGGTATTCCCTTGTAGGTAACTGGGTTTCTTTCTCTTACTGCTTTTAAGATTCTCTCTTTGTCTTTTGCTCTTGGCATTTTAATTATGATGTGTCTTGGTGTGGTCCTCTTTGGATTCCTTTTGTTTGGGGTTCTCTGCGCTTCCTGGACGTGTAGGTCTATTTCTTTCACCAGGTGGGGGAAGTTTTCTGTCATTATTTCTTCAAATAGGTTTTCAATATCTTGCTCTCTCTCATCCTCTGGCACCCCTATAATTCTGATGTTGGTGCGCTTGAAGCTGTCCCAGAGGCTCCTTACACTATCTTCATATTTTCGGATTCTTTTTTCATTTTGCTTTTCCAGTTGGGTGTTTTTTGCTTCTTCGCATTTCGAATCTTTGACTTGATTCTTGCGCTCCTCTGGTCTGCTGTTGGGTGTCTGTATAATATTCTTTATTTCAGTCAGTGTATGCTTAATTTCTAGTTGGTTCTTTATCACAACATCGAGGGTCTCATTAGATTTCTTGAGGATCTCACTACATTTATCGGCGGTCTCACCAGTCTTTTCGAGGGCCTTACTAAGTTTATCGGCAGCTTCTAGACAGTTCTTAAGAGACCTTAAAAGTGTGGTTCTGAACTCAATATCCTCCATTGACAGTTTTGTCCTGTTTCTTTGTCTCCGCATTTTTATGCTTTCTTGGTGCACCCCCTAGTGGTCTTTGTCCGCAGTCTTGTTGCCTTTAAGCCTTGATTGATGTCGGCAATACCGGGGTGATTTGACCTCCAGGCTAACTGGCTATGAGAGTCTGCTGTGTCTGCAGTGGGAGGGCTTCTGTGCTGGATCTCTAGGGCGGTGCTAATCTAGCATTTGCCTGAGGCTATCCGGCAAATGGTTCTGTGCAGGGCTTGGGCGGGGCGGGTTCCCGGGGATCTACAGGGCAGGCGGAACAAGCAGTTATGGCGGCTCTCAGTTCCTTCCCCAGGGGCTCTGCCTCTCAGAGCCCCAGCAATGGCTGCAAACCTCGGAGAGAAAGCTGCCTTCGAGTTCCGACCGAAGCCAGACAGTCCCGTTTCTCCCGTTTGAGTCTTGGTCCCCAGAGACTCGCCCGGATCTGGAGCTCAGAGTCTGAAACTCCCTCCCCATTGAAAACAACAACCGCGCCCTCCGCTGCCAGCCCGCTCCGCGCCCACGCGCGCACTTCTGCACCTGAGTATTTCACTTCAGCACAGTGCCTCCTCTGAGTCTGGGTATGATATTCTCTTTCCTCCTAGTTGTAGAATTTCCACTCAGCCAGCCTTCCCGTGGTTCTGGGTGATGTCTGTTCTGTCCTTTAGTTATATCTCTGAAGTGGTTGTTTGAGGCAGCGATCTCTGGCGTTAACCTATGCCACCATCTTGGTTTCTCCCTTTTTTTTTTTTTAAATAAATACTGTAAATGGGAGATGGTGATGTAACCACGAAATGACGAATGTCGAGTCCAACATAACCGGAGGCCTGCCTGTATCACTGTTAGGTCTGATCAAATAATTGAATCAACACTCCCTCCTCTGGGAACTGACCTTTATACCACTTCACAGCATTCCCTTTGGCTTAGACTACATTCCACTTGCTAAGACCACATTCCATTTGCTAAGACCATTATCCTTCCCCTCTGGACCTTCCTAGGATCCAGACCAGCTCAGAGAATTCTCCACTCAAAAAAAGTTCACCTGGAATTCTTTAAAATATTTGACTCCCTGTCCCTGGGTGCTGATGCCATTTTGGCGCTTATCCCATCTGGTATCCAGATGACCCTATATTCATAATCCCACCACTTTGGCCTTGTGCATTCCTCCTTTGGGGACCCTAACAATCACTGCCTTTGAAATGCTATCACCAGGTAACTGCTTTTCCTTTATCCAAAACAACAGCAGTTTTTCTATCTACAGTGGGGCCTTGACTTATGAGTGTCCCGACTAATGAGTTTTTTGAGATACCAGCTGTCTCTTGGCCGATTTTTTGCATTGAGTTGATAGAGTAATTTGAGTTAACGAGCTCCTTAATGAGCCTGGGATTAATGTTTTGTGAACACGTTCACACCCTTAGCAACATTAGAACTCTGCACGCCCCCTACTGGGGATGGAGCCTGCAACCCAGGCAGGTGCCCTGACCAGGAATTGAACTAAGGACCTCTTGGGACACTCAACCACTAAGCAGCACCAGCTGGGCACATTAGCACTCTTGATGGCCTCTTTATGTTCTAAAATTGTGCGGATTGGCCCAGCATCAATCTATGAACCAGGAGGTCACAGTTCAAGGCATGTGCAGGGATGCTGGCTTGATCCCCAGTAGGTGGGGTGCAGGAAGCCGCCAATCAATGATTCTTTCTCATCATTGATGTTTCTATCTTTCTCTCCCTCTTCCTTCTCTTTAAAATCAATAAAAGTGTATTTTTAAAAAAACTGTGCTCATCACCAGCAACAAAAGCATCCTCTCCTTTGCTTGTCTGCTGAAATGCTTTTTGTCATGCGTGAAAGGGTTGTCAGGTCAAAAACTGAAGTTTTGGTAGAAAACCGAGACATTTTTTTCTGTGAACAACTTGGTTGGGAATGGAATTGTTCAAGATGGAAGACATTCGAGAAATGAGGTTTGACTGTACATGTCCTTCAGACAATTTAAACTCTACATGCTAGAAACTTGGCTCATTAACGGCCTCTCCTCTTGTAGTCCCTCTCAAGGTAAAAGGCATCACCATTCACACAGTTGTCCAAACTCCTCATTGCCTTTCATTTAATACATCCAATTAATCACCAAATCCTGTTCAATCCTTCTTCAGAATCTCGCTGGCATGTTCACCTACCAGGTTCACAATGCCAACACCTGTCACCCAGGTTGCTGCAGCAGCCCAACTCAACTTCCTGCCTTTCTAGTCTTGCTCTTCCTGTTTCTTACCTAACCAATCCATTCCCCATATTGCTGCCACAGTGAACTTTAGGAAACAGAATGCTTTTAAATCCAAAGTTAAAATTTTTCTATCTTTTCCCACTGGCTTAATATGGCCATGTGATCCTCCATTGTCTTGCTGCTCCTCTGTCATGCTCCAGCCATACTGAACTCTGTTCCTTGAATTTGCCTGCTAATGCTCCTTTTGTGATGCCTGTCACCATGTTATACCTACCCTTCTTTTGCTGGCTACCCTCCCCTCTTTTGCATGATAGCTTCTAATTACTGACAGGTCCCAGCTTAAGTATCACATCATTTCCTGGGCCATTGTTCCCTGACCCTACAAGTCTGTGTTAGGTGTTTCTCTTAGGTTCTTCCATATTCTGCACTTGCCTTAGCATAGCACTCAGCACACTGTGCAGTTAACGATGACTGTTTAACTTGTCTGTATCACTCACAGAGGTGTGAGCCTCTGAAGTTTAAGAGCAGTTCTTATATGCCTGGCACAATAAATGCTCAATAAACATATGTGGGAGGAAGCACGGGAAGTCAATTCCATGCAGAAAGTTTGGATCAGCAGTTCTTGCTATATGTCTGAGCTTAGTACTGTGCTACTAACTAGGGACAGAAAAGAGTATAAGAGAAATTGTAGCCCTAGTACAGGAGACTTCACTTCTATGTTTTTCTATTTTCCCCTAACACCTAGCAGTATGAGGCACTTGAGACATATCTTAAACCAAATCAGACACAAAACAGTACTTGATTATATACCCAAATCTTTACATAACAGGAGGTCAGAAAGAGTAATTAGTTCTGGAATAGATAAGGCTATATCAATGAGCAAGGAGATTTAAGCTGAACATTTATAATGGAATTTGGCGGAAAGAAAAGGAGAGGACATTCCCATAATGAGAACAGAATCAATAAAAGAACCAAAGAATTTCTGTGAGACGTCCACCTGAAGAGAGGGGTTCTCAGCTTCTGATGCAAAACAGAATCACCTAAGGAACTTTACCAAAATACTTAGCCCTGGGCCCCACCCAGAAATTCTGATTTGGTCCTTCAGTGGGATCAGTCTGTATATGGGGGTAGGTGGGGAGAGAAAATGTAGTGGTTAAGAGCAGGGGCTATCTGGGTTAGAATGTGGGCTCTACCTCTTCCTGTGTGACTGACTTGGGCATGTTCTAAACCTCTCTGTTTATTTATAAAATAGAAAAACTTTCAGAGTATTATAACTTTATCAATATACTTCATAGCAACAAACAAGTTAAAGAACAAACTCACCAATTCCAAAATGCTCATTCCACATGGTATGCAAACCAATTGTTCCTTTAGACAAGTAATTCTTTAATTCATCAAATGGAATATTTATTTTAAATTCCACATCTTCTTGAACTCCTAGGTCTTCACATAGTCTTCTCAGTTGGTTTACTCTAAATTCATCATCTTGGTTACGACAACCTCCAATGAGGACAAGTTTAAGTGAAGGAAGTGACTCAGTCTTCCTCATATTCAACAATTTAGCAAAGGCTCTGATCTGCAAAGGATGATTCTTTTCAGGCCTGAACTGGCCAACAGAAACCAGTAAATGTCCTGGGGTCATCTTTTTCTCCTCTAAGGGAATGTCCAGAAATGTATGCACATCACAAGGTGGATAAACAATGTTAGTGCAATGCCCAACCTTCCACAGTGAGAGAATATGGTTTAATGTCCAAGAAGAATTGACCATGACTATATCACTGCAGGAACCAACAAGTCCATAAAGAAAAGCAAATAAATAGTAATAGATGAGCTTTACTTTGCTGAGAAAAGGATTCCTGGTAATGAAGGTTGCATTATTAAATCTAGCATTTTGATTCTTCACTACAGAGAGCATGTCAGTGCTGATAGTGGGATAATGAACATAGCTTCCAACTCGGCAACCACCTAAATACTTAAACAGAGGAAGTGTGAAAGCATATCCCATTGAATCGATGTAAATATCAGGGACACACTGCATCAGGGCTTCCCAGCCAAGAAAGATGGACCCTAGACTTTGGCCCAGCAGTGTGAAGTAAGGATAGAGAGAATCTTCCACAAGGTAGCGTTTCCTTAAGAAAACAAACCTCACTGGGTGAGTTAATCTGATGTTAAATCTTCTGAAAGCACCTTCTAGTATTTGTTGACTGCTGATATTAACATCACCAGTATAAACAACATAAACTGCTGTAGGATACCTAAAATAGAATACAATAGTTAAGAATTTCATTAGTTTAGGTTAAAATCAAGCAAAAAGTTATAGATTTTTTTCTCACAATCATAAGAAGCTTATTTTTAGACTAAAAAAATGTTTTCCACTCATTGCATTTGGACTACTGACCTCATTCTTTCCTGCCCTATAACTAAAATGTTAGTTAGTCCTTCAAATCAGACTTCTAGTTCTTTGCTCTCTCCTCCACTAAGAGTTTCCTATAGAGCAGACACAAACAAAAACTGATTTATAAATGAGACTTTTTTATTTTCAAGAAATATTAAAAATTTTATTTTGACAACTTTTTCAATATAAAAATGGTAGTGAAATATTAGTAAAATATATGAGTTAAATTTCACTGAAGATATCTTTAGATAGAATGGTAAATGCTAAAGCACTTCTCAGTGTTATCTGAGTAATAAAAAAGGTTATAAAAACTAGATCTTCACATGGTTCTTCACAGCACTTAGAATAAAATCTAAACTCCTTACCCTGTTCACTGAAGCTCTGTAATCTGGGTCCTGTCGCCCTCTGTACCTTCGTCTTCTACTTTCTCCCTTGCCTACCAGGGTTCAGCCAAACTGACAATCCTTTCTTTGAACAAGCCAAGCTGCTTCAGCCTTAGGGGACTTGCAGTAGTTGTCCCTTTGCTTTGAATTCTCTTTTCTCATCTCCATTGTCTTTTCATAAGGCAGGCAGTATAGCAAGTGGTTTAGAGCAGGGGCTCTAGTAACTCAGTTTCCTTGTTTGTCAAATGAAAATAAGAGTAATGACCTCACAAGGTTGTTAGGAGGATTGAATGAGCTAACATAAATAAAATATTATTCAAACAATGCCTGGCACATAGTAAAAGTTCATTAAATGGTAGTACTTTTGTCATTCAAAAGTATCTCCTTGAAGAATTTCCCTAATTGCTCAATCTAAAGTATCAAGTCACACTCATATTATTCTATTTTAATTTCTTATATAGTACTTCTTACCATTTGATATTTTTCTTCTTTGCTTATTGTTTTCTCTCCACTAAAATCTAAGGTCTGCAAGAGGGACTTGATCTACCTTGTTCACCATTTACTCTCAATTTCTTTTTACAGTGCTTGAAACAGAGTAGTTCCCCAATAAATATGGCATAAGTATACTGTACCTTATGCTGAGTCAGGAAAGACTTATAGAAATTAACTGAAGAGAAAAAGATTATTTCAGAAAAAAGGGAACACTATATAAAAAGATAAGGAATCTAGAGAAAGCATGATGTTCAGTATGCTGGAACACAGTATATGTGAAAGAGCAGAGAGGAATAAGAAACAAAATCTGGCAAGAGCAAGATGAAAAAGTATCTTCTGTGTCATACTAATTATTTGGATTATTTTTTCCTTGTAGGTGAGTTAGGAGTGATAGGGGTTGCTGGGGAGTATGTGTATAGATATAAAACTTTGCCACTGCCTAATTATCCAGAATTAGATAATATCACTAGAGAGAAAAAGGTAATACATAGAGTTATGCAAAGAAAAGAATAGTATAGATTACGGTGGAGAGGGCTGCAAGGAGGTGAGAATTAAGTGAGGATTTAAGAAAATTCTTTGGATTTAGGCACTTATGGAAGATAGAAGAGGAAATACAGGGGTGGTGGCTGGAAGCCAGGATGGGTCAAGAACATAGAAATGTAGAGCTAAGGGATTACCTGTGAAGGCTTTGGAAGGAAATGAAGGGCATGAATAACCATAGAAGGATAATAACCCGGAAGCAGAATAACCATAGGAGGATAACAGTTTTCCACATATAATAAAACAATGAAACCTGCACTTTACTATGCTTTCTCCTTTTTAAAAGGGAATCATAAATACTTTGGGGTGGGGAGGAAAAAAGCCTAAAACATTAAATGATGTATAATATATTATTTCTAACATGGTAAGTTACTTAAGACTAGCCAACTGATAATGATATCAGAATTAGAAGCAAATAGATGCTTCATAAAGATTATTTTGGGTATGCCACCACTGACTAAAAGTGCTCCACATTACTTTCTACTATTTAATCTCTTCTCCACATACTCTCCCAAGATGACTAGTTTTAAATTATGCCATAAAAGGGCAGATACTTTCCATTTTTTATCATAGCCACTAAATGCAATAGGATCTTATAAGGCAAATTGGCATATGAGAGAACTATTTCTTTGTTGAAAAATAGTTTAAAAATGAATTCCTGGCTATAAATAAGGTATTAGATAAAGATGAATTCTGGGTAATGATTTTTTTTAAAAAAATGCTAATATAGCAAATTAGCTAAAAAAGATGCATACCTACTTTTTCTGCAGGGCCCTTAATGCACACCATAAAACTCTTTCTCCTCCTCCGCCAGCACTGCAGTATGGATGAAAAAATGCAATCACCATTTGATCTTTCCCTTTTTTGCCAGTTGATGCTGAGTTTTTCTTTCTTTGTAGCAGCACTCTGATTCCCCAAAGGATAAGGATCAAACACAAACATAAAATTCCACATACAATTAGCCCAGGGAAGAATAATGAATAAAAAAACCTGAAACAAGAGGGAAAAGGTGAAAATTGATATAATAATGCCCATTAAACAAAAATATGACTACAAAGTAAAGTCTACTTTCATACATCTACTTTATATATTAGTAGCAGAGAGAAATTTTTATAGCTTGTGAGCCTGCTAACGAAATACTCAATAATTGAAATTCTATTGCTACAAAATATCCAGATACAAAAGTATAAAAGTCCCCTTTAATTCCAGTCTCCACAGTAATGTTAGCAATTTAATATATTTATTTTTAATTAGTAATAAAAATAAATATTGAGCCATCTTTCTCTTAACTCAATATATGCGTTAAAGCAGCGGTCGCCAACCGGTGGTCTGTGGAACAATGGTGGTCCGTGAGGTCCAAAAGGTTGGTGACTGCTGTGTTAAAGGATTAAAACATATTTAATTATTAATCTCAACAAAACATTAGTAATAGCATCTGCCCCTCGAAATGACAATATGTAACCCCCCAAACGTGTCTTCTCTCTCTCTCTCTCTTTTTAAGTAAAGTTTTATTTTTTTAAATGTATCGCTGGTGGGACCTGTTCGTGCATCTTCTTCAACAGCTGGGGCATCTCCATCTTTGGTGTTTCTGGTGTAAACTGCTTGAGCTCTGCGCTCTGAAACTAGTTTAATAAGTCCTTTCCTAAGGAGCCCCTGAAGGGCTCCTGGCCAAGGAACTGTGGATCTTCAGTCTCTCAGAGATAATAGCTGGGATTATAAACTTATAGTTGGGAACTTCCTTATAGAGTTGGACATAATATGCTTTGCCAAATAAGACTAGGTTATTGAGCTTGTCCAGAACTTTGCCCTTGGACCACTTCTTTTTGGCCTTACCCCTGGACTTGTTCACTGGGTCTTTGTCTTTTTTGGCCCACATTTTCTTCTTCTTGTTGTCCTTGGGCGGCATTGTGAGAGTTGGAGAGCAGGGCCTCTGCTGCTGCTTTGGTAAGATGTCGGACTGAGAGCTTTCTCTCTGTCTGTCTGTCTGTCTGTCTGTCTGTCTCTCTCTCTAAAGACTAGTTTACTTATTTGTAAAGAGAGAGGAAGGGAGGTTGGGGTGGGGGGGGAGTGGTGGTGGAGAGATAAACATCAATGTGAGAGAGAAACATTGATCATCTGCCTCCTACAATCTTCCTAGGAGGGATTGAGCCAAAACCCGGGCATATGCCATGATCAGGAATCAAACCAGCTACCTTTCAGCACACAGAATGATGCTCAACCAACTGAGCCACACCAGCCAGGGCAAAATATGACTTCTTGAATGATCAGTATTGCATTAGTTAAAAGTTTGGTGAAAGTTATGTCAGAGGAATGGTGTGTGAGAGAGCCCCTTGGCTGCTCACCCTGAAATATCAAGGAAACCAACTATAATTCAACAAAGAAATCCCTGTTCAACACAGACGCATGCATGAAAGGTCTGTGCCTTGAAACACCTAAAGGTGGGCAACTGGGAAGATGAGGAGGGAGGAAAGTGCAGACAGCTTGCAGACACAGCGCTTCAGCCAAGAGCTCGAGTCTCAGCCTTGAAAGGGAAGGAAACTGGTGGTAGTAAGCGCTTCCTTTGGCTGGGAGCAACAAAGAGTTATGTGGGGGGTAGGGGTGGGGGTCTGAGGACCCAACAGGGCGAGTTGCAAAGGTGTGAACAGTTTCTGAGTCAGCAGATGCCTGACAGAACATGGGGTTCTACCCAGCAGCTCTGTGTTTCAGACAAAGAAATAGAACCATAGAGCCCTGATGCACTTGGACCCCCCAAACTCACCTCCCATTGCCCTTAGAGTTGGGTCCAGGAGCATATTATCTGTAGACCAAGAGCTGTTGGAGTAGAACCACTGTTTCCCTCTGTGACTGAACCCTAGGAGGGGTGCTTAGGGCAGGACCCCATGGAGGTCAGGGGTCTCCATTATGGTGAGGGCAAAAAAATCCCACTCCCAAGTAGCATGGCTATACTGTATTATGGAAGCCATGGTGGTCAAGACTGGGAGATCACAAGAGATAAAAAAGTTTGCAATTCAGGGCTATCTACTGGAAAATAATATATTGATGGAGAACAGCAAAGGAGAACAGCAAATACCATGAATAACCATAATAATGAGGATGACCAGAAAGGACATGAAAAATCCCCAGAAAGCAAGTTGGAACACTTGGAAATGTGTGATATAAATGACAGAGATTTCAAGATTGCAGTTCTGAAAATACTCAATGAGATGTCAGAAAATACAGATAGGCAATTCAATGCACTCAGAAAACAAATCAATGGACAAAATGAGTACTTTGCCAAGGAGATTGAAACTTTAAAAAAGAACCAATCAGAAATCCTGGAAAGATTTCAGTGCAATAAGGGAGATTAAGAGTAAACTGCTGAAAACCATGATGGCAGCATAGGTAAACACCTGTACTTGCTGTCTCCCACAACCACATCAAAATTACAACTAAAATACAGAACCACCATCATTCAGAACCACCTGAAAGCTGGCTGAATGGAAGTCCTAGACTAGAGAAGTAACGAAAAGAAGCACACTGAGATAGTAGGAGGAGCAGAGGCACAGAACAGGCTGGTCCAACACCCATGTGTGCCATTTTTTTAATCGGGACGGAGACTGTCTCTGTGGAGGTTGCCTGTGAGGAGCAAGGTGTCCGAGGCCCACATCAAATTCCCAGTCCAGGGTTCCAGAACTGGGAAGTGAAGTTCCTGAAACTGTATGGCCAATAAAAAACAGCAGGGACTGTGGCTGAGTGACACGGAGGCTGCTGGAGATCCAGGTGTTCTTTTTAAAGGGCCAATGCACAAGCTTACTCAGATTTATCCCTCTGAGCTCCAGCACCGGATGGCTTTGGGGGACCCAGACACATACTGGGAGGAACTGGATTGTCCGGTATCAGGGCAGGAACTTGGGGAAGGCTTCCAGGCAAGGGTGCTGTTGGAGTCATTGTTCCTGTGCTGGGAACTCCCCCATCGCAGGGCTGACTGGCAGCCATATCTGAGTATCCCTTAGTCTGCTTCACACTGTTTGCTCCAACCCTGATGATCCCCTGAGATCCCGCCCCATCCAATTTGCAACCTCACCCAAGCTGTTTGCAGTAGCTTTTCCATATGAATGGCTTGTCCTGGCTCATGCATCACACTTTGCTAAAATCTCTCCAAAGAGTTGCAGCTGGTGTCAGTGTGCCTCAAACCTATCAACAAAAGGCCCAAGACCCACCAGCACTAGCACCAGCCTGCTTTGCTTCACAGCTGGGCCATGCCTGGGTACCACCAAGCCCAATACAAATAGCAGCCATATACAGATCCCTCTGTAGCTACTGCCAGGTGGCCCCAGCAGTGGCTGATTTTGCACCTCCCTGGAGGCCCCAGAGCCAGTGCACCTGGTGGACAGCTTCAGACCATACCAGATTACAACTCTATACATTCACAAGTGACACACTCAAGAGGCAGACTCAGTGAGCACCAAAGTGCACTGAAGCAACTCCTACTCCATAGGGATGTCTCCTGCACAGCAGCTCTCCCACTGTAGTCACAGCTGGTCCTTACAACCAACTGGCCAGGAGGTCAACTCCTCTCAGTGATACCAACAGCAATAGAGGCTTAACTACAAGACTATGCCCCAGCCCACCCAGGGGCACACCTAGAGTGCCCAGCATAGGTGACTGGGGAAGCTGAGCCACTGGGCCCTACAGGACACCTACTGAACAAGACCAATTTCCAGAAGACATAGCACCTCTACCTAATACATAGAAACAAACACAGGGAAGCAGCCAAAACACAGGGAAGCAGACAAAGAAACAAGTCACAAATGAACAAAATGGAAGCCAGCAAACTACTGGACACAGAGTTAAAAACAATGGTTATAAGGTTGATCAAGGATCTTTACAAGAGCTTCAAGGCACTTAGTGAGACTTCCAAGGATCTTAGTGAGAATGTCAAAGACATGAAAAAGGACCAGTCAGAAATTAAGCATACACTAACTGAAATAAAGAATAATTTATAGGAATTCAACAGTAGAGGATTCCGAGAATCAAATCAACTATTTGGAATATGAGGAAGCAAAAAACAACCAATTTGATGAGCAAAAAGAAAAAAGAATCCAAAAATATGAAGATAGTGTAAGGAGTCTCTGGGACGACTAGAAGCGTACCAACATTTGCATTATCAGAGCAAGATATTGAAAACCTAGTTGAAGAAATATAGCAGAAAACCTCCCATCTGGTGAATGAAATAGACTTAAAGTCCAGGAAGTGCAGAGTCCAAAACAAGGGGAACCCAAAGAGGCCTACATCAAGACACATCATAATTAAAATGCCAAGGGTTTAAGACAGAGAGAGAATCTTAAAAGCAGCAAGAGAAAAGCAGTTAGTTACTTAAAAGGAATGACCCATACGACTGTAAGCTGATTTCTCAAGAGAAACTTTGCAGGCCAGAAGGAAGTGGCAGGAAATATTCAAAGTGATGAATAGCAAGGACCTACAACCAAGATTACTCTACTCAGCAAAGCTCTCATTTAGAATTGAGGGTAATAAAGAGCTTCACAGACAAGAAAAAGCTAAAGGAGTTCATCACTACCAAGCCAGTATTACATGAAATGTTGACGGATACTTTTTTTTTTTTTACTTTTTATTTATTTGGTTTTTTTTAATCCTCACCCTTGGATATTTTTCCATTGATTTTAAGGGACAGTGGAAGAGAGAGGGAAAGACAGAGAGAAACATCAATGTGAGAGAAACACAACTGGTTGCCTCCTACACGAGCCCTGAGCAGGGCCCAGGCCAGGGAGGAGCCTGCAACCAAGGTAAGTGCCCTTGACCGTAATCGAACCTGGGACCCTTCAGTCAGCAGGCCGATGCTCTATCCACTGAGCCAAACCAGCTATGGCTTCTTTGTCTTTTTCTTTTTTTTTTTCTTTTTAAAATATATTTTAATTGATTTCAGAGAAGAAGGGAGAGGGATAGAGAGATAGAAACATCAATGATGAGAATCATTGATCGGCTGCCTCCTGCATGCCCACAGTGGGGATTGAGCCCCAAACCAGGCATGTGCCCTAACCGGGAATTGAACTGTGACATCCTGATTTATAGGTTGATGCTTATCCACTGAGCCATGCCGACCGGTCTTGAACAGTATTCTTTAAGAAGAGGAAGAAGAGAAAAAAAAAGATAAAAAATACGAACAATAAAATGGCAATAAATACATTTCTATCAATAATTGAACCTAAAATAAAAATAAACGAATAAGAAATCTAATGAACAAAATAAACTGGTGAATAAAATAGAATCAGAGGCATGGAAACATGGAACAGACTGATGAATCTCAGAGGGAAGGGGGCAGGGCAGGTGGGAAGAAATTACTCAAAGATCTTTTTTTTTATTATTGATTAAAGTATTACATATGTATCCATAACCCCAAATGCCTCCCCACCCCACTCCTGTACATGCCCTCACCCCCCTGCTGTCTCTGTCCATTGGTTATGCTTATATGCATGCATACGAGTCTTTTGGTTGATCTTATCTATGGACACAGACAGTGAAGGCCTGGGGCATTGGAGCGGGGGAGGCAACATCTGTAATACACTCAACAATAAAGATTTAAGGTAATAAAAAAAATAATAAAAAAGAGTGAATGACTGAGCACAGAAAACAGAACCAACCAGATGGAGGAAAGAATTTGTGGTATCAAAGATAGGGATCTAAAAATAGCAGAGGGAAGAAGTGAGAGACCTGAGCATAAAGAAAAATGAAAGAGCTCTACAAGAACTGACTCCATCAGAACAAGCAATATTATAATTACTAGGGGCCTGCTGCACAAATTCGTGCACGGGTGGGGTCCGGCCAGCCCTGGCCCCAGATCAGGGTGAGTGGGGGCCAACTGGGGGTGGGGCTGGCTGGGGGGAGGGTCCACGGGCAGTTGGCTGGCCAGCCCCGCTCCCTGGTTGAACTCCCAGGTGAGCTCCCAGGTGAACTCCTAGTAGAGGGGACAATATGCATATTAGCCTTTTATTATATAGGATAGGCATTGT